GAGAGAGAGAGAGAGAGAGAGAGAGAGAGAGAGAGAGAGAGAGAGAGAGAGAGAGAGAGAGAGAAAGAGAGAGAGAGAGAGAGAGTGAGAGAGAGAGAGAGAGAGAGACAGACAGTGATCTAAAATTGGCAGAGGAACGTTGTAATTTGTCATCATTTCGAGAGAGAATGTCATCATTTGACGACGGCCTTGATGTGAAGGAGGCTTACTATGTATGGAAAAGGAGGAGGAGGGAGGAGGGGGAAGGAGGAAGAGGAGGAGGAGGTGGTGTGTGCGGTTGAGGTTGCGGATGAGCGGATGAGCGGGTGCGTGTGCAGATGGGGATGCGTGTGCGTGCGTGTATGCGTGTGCGGGGGCAGGGATACGGGTGGGTTCAGTCAATTGGGCGTAACATGTTGGTCGGCTGGCGACTCAAGATCGGGGTTCTGTTAGCATGATGGTAGTCATAAAATCGGATCTGAAAGTAAAAGCGTAGATGAAGCGGCAGATGCGCCTCATTCAAGTGTCAATCAAGCCTAGTGCTACGAGTCAGAGTTCGGGTCAAGCTCATCGTCGACGTGCGTCATGCGGCCGGCGACCCACCAGCCAGGGTCGAGGGCCGTAAATATGGCAAACCAAATGTCTTGGGCCAATGCAGGTTCAGGGGCGCCCCGCTCAAAGCCAGAGCTGCGTTCGAAAGCGGAAATGGCCCGCAGGCGGCCCAAGACAGTGCGGTTGAGACGGCCAGCATCCTGCAAGAGGCGGCGCCGCGCCACAAGGAGGGCCACCACGACGCGTTTAAAGCCCAGCGAGCGAAGGTAGTGATTTTCTGGCGACCACGGTGCCACCATGTCGGAGACGAGGCGCTGCACGTCGGGGTCTGGTGGAGCACCGTTCCGCACACTGGGTTGGCTGGCGCGGTGAAGCAGGCCTACAGGGTCGGTACAGAGACGCCAGAAATAGCCGTCGGCGCAGCCCTGGCGCAAAAGTGGGATCAGCCGGGCATCAACGGCCATCTCCAATGCGGACCAAGGCTTGGCCAAGTCCATGTAGTCGTAAAAGGGCGAATCCACAATAACCCCCAACGGCGTGCGATTCAAATGGTCGCGCACCGTGCGGCTGGCCCCGAATCCAACGAGCCATTGAGCCGAGGTGACGGCCCCGTGGCTGCAGGCAATATGCAGGGGTGTTTCGCCGTGCTTGTTCACCTCGTCCACCCGCGCGTCCGTGTTGGCGAGCAACCACGCCACCACGTTGACCTCACGCAGCTTGGCGGCGCGGTGCAGCGGCGTGTCGGCCTCGCTCGCTCCCATGTGGCTATTGACGCCCAAGCCGAGGTCCAAAACCATGTAGCGAACATTTTCTAGCTGCCCGCCCTCGGCAGCCGCATGAAGCGCCGCTGAGCTCTGAAGGTGCTCCAGCAAGGCGCGTCGTCGATGTCGCCGGCCGCTGGCCTGGGGAACACGTAGCGAGTTACGCCAGCGACCAAAGGAAGAGCGGAAAGAGGAGGAGGAGGAGGAGGAGGCCGTAGCAGAGGCGGCGACGGAGGCCTCGGTGTGCCGGTGATCTGCAGACGCGGTCAGACCGTGCTCGATGTACTGATCCACAATCCACGCAAGGGTGGTGGCTTGGGCCTGGGCCGCACTCAAGGCGACCAAGCGGGCCGCTAGCTTGAGGTCAAACGGCAGGTGGGTGCTGGGGGTGGATGGGAGGAGCAGCTGCTGCAGAACGAGGACACGGTCGTGGCGGGCCGCTTCCAGAGCAGCTTGGAGGAGGTATTGGTGGGTGGGGATGATGCGCTGTGCGCAGTCCAGGGACGGGAGGTGGTGCAGGAGAAGGGCAAACGTGCTGGTGTGGCCATGGGCGGCAGTGCGGGTCAAGGCAGAGCGCCAGGAGGAGGCATGAAAAGTGTGCTGGTCAAGGAGGTAGCGTAGGACGTTGTCATGCCCATGGGCTGCAGCGGCGGCCAGCGCGTTTTGGGCAAAGACGTGCTCGGCGGGGCTCTCTCCCTCAAGGCGAGCGTGACAGTGCTCCACGAGGTACTGCACTACGTGGAGTTGACCCTGTCGGCAGGCGGCGAGGATGGGGGGAGACTGCAAAAAGCCATACCGGGCGGGCTGGGCGTTGTAGGGGGGCTGGGTGAGCAGGGTGACGACGTTGAGTTTGCCCTTTTCGCAAGCGGCCGCCAGGAGGGTGAGACCTTCGTGGTCCTCATGGTCTGGACTGACGCTCTGGTGGTGAAGGCACCAGCGCAGAGCCTCGAGATGGCCGCGCTCGGCAGCCAGGAAGGCGCAGGTGCGACGTCGGTGATCTTGAACGTTGACATCAAGGCCGAGATGGTGAAGGAAATCGAGGAGCGCCACGTGGTTGCTGGCGGCAGCCGTAAATGCCAGGTTTTGGCCTTGGTCGTTGCAAGCGTGCAGGTCGGCACCATGGGCCAAGAGCCAGCGGAGGGCGGGGCGGCAATTGCGAAAACAGGCCGTCTCTGTCAGGGCCGGCTGCCACGGCTGCGGGGGCCCATGGGCCAGCGTGGCCAGCAAGAGGGGCGGATTCTCCACCAGGACCTCATCAAGAGCGCGCGTGAGCGGGGTATCGGCCGCATCGTCGTTGGTTGTGGGGGTGGGCCGCGGCGCCAGCTGCTTGATGAGGCGTTGGCAGCGCTTGAAGCAGGCGGTTATGTCATCAACACTGAAGGCGGGCTCCTGGGTTGTGATGCACGTGGCTGCCCCATCTCCGGGCGACGGCAGGGTGGCCTCATCGGACGCCATGTCCTTGACCCTCCTGTGGTCGCAGACATTCGAGGTTGCAGCTTAATAATGATGAGGCGTGAGGCCGGTGCGCTGCAGATGGCAAGAAGAGGAAGGAAGAGATTGCGCGCAGGAGAGGGGAAGGGGGCGAGGTGTGAGGGAAGAGGAAGATTTTGGAGGTAGGCAGGCGGGAAGGTGGGTCCGGGTGGTGGTAGCAGGCAAAAAACAAGAGGCAGTGGGGAAAGGAGGGAGAGAGCAGGGAGAGAGGAGGCAGCTGGGAGAAGAGGGAGAGAGAGGAGGCAGCTGGGAGAGGAGGCAGCTGGGAGAGGAGGCAGCTGGGAGAGGAGGGAGCTGAGAGCGGAGGGAGCTGGGAGAGGAGGGAGCTGGGAGAGGAGGGAGCTGAGAGCGGAGGGAGCTGAGAGAGGAGGCAGCTGGGAGAGGAGGCAGCTGGGAGAGGAGGGAGAGAGAGGAGGGAGAGGAGGGAGAGAGAGGAGGAAGAGAGAGGAGGGAGAGAGAGGAGGGAGAGAGGAGAGGCAGCTGGGAGCGGAGCGAGGACAGCGCGCGGGATGTGTCAAGCAGTTTTTGAAAAAGTATTTCAACAATCGCTCCTCGCTTTGACATGGGCTTGAACCTCTAAATTGTAATGTATTTTACTACTGCATGGCACACCACCCAACTCAATGTCACACGAATCAATAAAAAGGAGGGAACAGGCTTTCCTTATTTTAAAATACAAGTATAATACTACTCATATTAAGCATACATGCATGCAGGAAGAGCAGGACTTGGAAGTTGCTTCTCATGCCATAGCTGGCGCGTTTTTAGATGGTGAGAAGTATTCGTCATGATCAGTTTGCGGCGAGCTCGCCATTGTTCGACCGAGGGCTTGTCCGCTGACTCAGGTCGAGCGATGTGATGCGATGCGACGCGTTGAGCCATGCGTTGTCCACTCAGCAAAACCTTATTGCTAGCGACCCTCGGTTCAAGAGTCCTGCTAGTGGACACGGGTTGACTGGTTTCTGGGCCGTTGTGGGCCAACCGGTTTGGTGATTCGTCAGGGTTGTCATGACGGACATTGGCGTTGCGCTCCAACCGTCGCGGCCCCTCGACCACGCGAGCGTCAACTCGGCAACTCGTCGCTTGGTTGAGGGCGATATGTCCTCTTCCTGCCAGATTAACAGCGCTTTGTCAAGACATGTGGTGCCTTGATACCGATCGAGTACACGTTGGTGGTAGGGGGCAAAGTTTTGTGGCCATGGGCTGGATGCCGAGTGAATGCAGGCAAGAAAAGCAGAGTCCAGCGGTTGCCCCGCATCAGACTTGGTTGTGCTTGCAACAGTCCAGCGTGGGTCAGGTGGCAAGGCTGCCATCGCGCTGAATTGCTTCGTATGGCTACGACCTGGTACCGAAGCGCCTGGGTAAGATCTTCGTCCCGGTGTGTAAAGAGTGTGCAAGTGCATCTTGCCGGAGATGTTGATGGTGCGTAAAACCTGGCACAGCCTGGGTCTAGCAGGGTCAAGACCCGGCGCACATTCTGGCATCCAGACCTCTGCCCAAGCAAGCAAGCAAGCAAACAAGCAAGCGAGGAAGCGTTCAAGCAGGGTCAAATCTATTCGAGCTTGACACACGATTTGAACGATTTGGAGCCAACCGTCATCCCCACGAAACAAGAGGGAGAGAGTGAGAGAGAGAGAGAGTGTGTGTGTGTGAGAGAGGGAGAGTGTGTCTGTGTGAGAGCGAGGGAGCTTTGAGAGATTCAAGAGAGAGATTCAAGAGAGAAATTCAAGAGAGAGATGCAAGAGAGATCAGAGAGAGTCAAAGGTTAGCTAAAACTTTTTTTTTTTTGGGACCAAAACCGCAAATGCATGCATGCAAGCGGGAGGGACGTTTTGGAAGACGAGACCTGACGAGCTCGCAGCTCGGGATGAACAGCCCAGCCCACCAACCAACGGATGGCCTTGGTCCCTGCATGCATGCCAGGTGCAAAGGGCAAAACGTGTATGCTTTATACACAAACGCGCAAATTAAAAGAGGGACGAATGTGGCGGGCATGGCCCACACCCATGGTGGTTATGAAGCTTGCTGCAGCTGCGAATGGTTCACACCCGTCAGCCCTGACCGCGCGCGAGGCAGGGAAATCCATTGATCTCATTTGAAGCCAAATACAAAGGCCTGGGGAACGGCTGGAATTTCAACCTTGTGCCCGCCTCGGTTCGTCCGCTCCACCTCCCTTGTTTCACATTTCGGTTGGCTCTCTTCCTCCCGCTCTTCCGTCGTCCCTTCCCCCACCTTTCTTCCCCCCCTCTTCAATCCCTTGAGCAAGCGGAAATAGTTTGCGGGCGACGGTTGCGACCGCGGTTATTTGTTGCCGGGCAAAGTCTGTGAGTTGCTATTTCCAGGCCGCCGTTCGCCCGACAACCAGGCTGGGTGGCATCTTCCTCCTCGACCGCATCAAGAGTAAGTTCGTCTCCCCCCGCGACCGCATTCTTGCTGGTGCTGCCATTCGCAAGTGGCCGCTTCCCTTTCTCCGTCCCAGTCGACGCTGCCTCGCAAACCACTTGGACGCAGACCCACAAATACACAAGACACATGGACACCCTTGTTGCACCTTCTGCTCCTGCTTCGCCGCGATTGGCATCGCGCCAATGTGCGCGTCTTCACATGCATGCTTCCAAAGTCAGAACACCATCATTGCCTAGCCTTGTGAAGAAGCCTTTCACCCTGCACTTCCTGTCTCCCATCGCTCGGGAACGAGCCACGTCGTTGCCCTCGATATCCGCTTCATTCCTGCGCATTGCGATTCATCCTGTGCCCTCATTACTCATCCATCCACCCTTCCACACCACCATCCATCAGATCCTCTTTCTTCCGCTCTCCCCCCACCAACCACCCTTTGGTTCTGTACCCCTTTCCTCTTCCTGCCCACCACCTTGGTCCAGCCCGCGCTCGTGTCGGCCACGCGCGCGCGGGAGTCGCATATTACTCCATCCCGGGCCCACCGTCATTTAGCGGTGGCGATCCCTCTTCCCCTCACCTCTTTGGCGGCCTCTCCCTAGAGAAGCCCCCATCGACACTCGGTGCAACACACCACCACCCCTTGCGTTGGTTGGTGGCAGACTCGATCTTTCCCCTCCCCCTCCTTCTCCACTCTTGGTGGAGTTTCGGCATTTCAGTTGATCTTTTCCCGGAAGAATAAGGGCAGCGCGGGTGTGATTGATCACACGCGCTCCCTCTCTACAACGCCTCGGTTCGGTCTTGACCTCTTCAACCGGTACGTCTACTTCCTCAATGCGCGCCAAGTTGCCTCCACTACCCATCAAACCGTACCCACATTTACTCCAAACGGCAGCGTCACTTGGTATCCACGTATCCCTTCCTGCCTTCTCACCGCGGGGCGGGCCATTTCTTTCGTTGTCGTTGTTTAGACCAACATGAGGACTTTTACCGTGGTGGCGGTCTTGTGCTTTGCGGCACTGGCCGTGGCTACTTCATCTCTGAACGAGAGTACGTCCCAGCCGCCCTTTGACCCCCGCCTTGAGCCGCGTGCTCTTTGCCTCGCCAATGCTTTGTTTCGTCCCCACCTTGGGCCTCTTCTACCCGACTGGGTGACTGGATTTTGACTCACCCCTGCAATCCTTACCTTCTCCGACCATTTCGATAGAGGGCCCCAAGGGTGACCGCGGAGAAACCGGTGCCCAGGGTCTGCCCGGCCCCCAAGGCCCCGGTGGCAAGGGTGGCGACGGTGGTTACAACGGGCGCAACGGTGCCCTCGGTGAGGACGGCGATCGCGGAGACAAGGGCCTTGCCGGCCGCCCCGGCCTCAAGGGCGAGAAGGGCACTGACGGCCGCAAGGGTATGATTGGCGAGCAGGGCGATGCCGGAGATCAAGGCCAGCCCGGTGACAATGGACGCGACGGCCCCAAGGGCTACCCCGGTTCCCCCGGTGTGGCCGGCGCCGACGGCACTGATGGCCGCCCCGGCGAGGACGGCCTTCCCGGCCCCGACGGTGACGACGGTCTTCCCGGTCTCGACGGTACCAACGGCGTGGACGGCTCTGATGGCGCCATGGGCGACAAGGGCTACAAGGGCGACACTGGCCGTGCTGGCCGCCCCGGTCGTCCCGGTGAGGCCGGTATCAAGGGCCGCGACGGTCTTGACGGTGCTCCTGGCTCTGCTGGTCCTGATGGTGACCGTGGCTTCCCCGGCTACACCGGCGACAAGGGCCGCGCTGGTCCCGCTGGTCCCTCTGGTACTCCTGGCTCCAACGGCCGCCCCGGTCCTGATGGCCGCAAGGGCGAACGTGGTGACATTGGCTTCCCCGGCTTCCCCGGTCCCGACGGTGCCACTGGCCGCCCCGGCCGCCCCGGCCCCGATGGCCGCCCCGCTAACAAGGGTGCTGCTGGCCCCATGGGCTCGGCTGGTCCCCAAGGTTTCAAGGGCCAAAAGGGTGCTGCTGGTGTGGACGGCAACGACAACTCGAAGGGTGCCACTGGCCCCCGCGGTGAGACTGGCCTCGATGGCCGCGACGGCACCGACGGTCCCACTGGTCCCCGCGGTGATGCCGGCTTCAAGGGCGTGAAGGGCCGCAAGGGCAAGGACGCCGCCAAGGGTCAGAACGGTGTGGACGGCCTCAAGGGTCAAACCGGTCTCAAGGGTCTCCGTGGTGACGACGCGCGCTCTCAAGGCCCCATCGGCCCCCGCGGTGAGCCCGGTATCAAGGGTCAGCCCGGACCTGCCGGTCGCACTGGTCCTCAGGGTGCCAAGGGTACCAAGGGTCGCTCCGGTTTCCCCGGCTTCAAGGGTGCCATGGGTCCCGACGGTGACGACGGCGCGGATGGTGTTCCCGGAACCGACGGTGACAAGGGTATGCCTGGTGCCAAGGGCCGTGCTGGTGAGCCCGGTCTCGATGGTTCGGATGGTCGCGACGGCAGCAAGGGCGCTCGCGGTGACCGCGGTTTCCCCGGTTTCACTGGTGACAAGGGCGAGGCTGGTACCCCCGGCCGCAACGGCGACGACGGTGACAACGGTCTTGATGGTCGCCCCGGTCGTCAGGGCCCCAAGGGCTTCAAGGGTCTGACTGGCGTCAACGGTGACTCTGGACCCCAGGGTCCCAAGGGTGACGATGGTGTGGACG